GGATGCAGGGCAATGCCGGGCTTTGGGACGTAGGATGTTACTGTGCTTGGAGGTTCATGGGTAGTTAGAAGCAGGGTTATAAGTAGGGTAACTGTAATTATAACCCATATTAGGGGACTTATAACCCCAGTTATAACTACCCATGAACCTCCAAGTAGATGTGGCCAAACCAGGTTTGGCTGCGCAGGTCTAGTTCTCGGTGGGGGGGGGGGTGGGGGGGGGTGAAGATGGAGCTATAGCAAGGGTTCACTTTGTGCTGGTAAGGTTCAGCTATGCACTCCCTCTCCTTTCACGCCAGACCTTTGGTTCCCCTGTACCCCTTCTTGAGGGTTGCCGAAGGAAATCGCGGGCCTGGTCAGGAGCACATCAACGGCCTCGTGAAGCGAACGCCTCGAAGCAGCAACGACCACAGAGGGAGCCATGTTGATCGTCACTGGGGCATTCTATGAACGCAGATTTGCAATTGATTCGATGTTGTTATACACGGCGGTGACCGTAGTCCTGGTCCTGGTCCATAGTCGTGGTCCTGGCCATGAAAGTGGCGGTGATCATTGTAATGGTGTGTCTGCTGATGCTGGTGCTGCTTCCGGCGATCGTGCGGCGGTCGCGATAATTGATCAAGATAAACGAGGACGATCATGATGATGATGATGACGATGATGATGACGGTGATGAGTTGGCGATGTAGATGACGATGGAAACAGGTTTGTCCGAGACGGTGATGATGACGGTGATGATGATGGTGATGATGATGATGATGAGGGCAAGGAGCTTGCAACGATCATCATCACCATGACCACCAGCATCATCATCGCCATCACCATGACCATGATCATGCACATGGTCATCATCACTCATCAGCAGCATCAGCGTCAGTAGCAGCATCACCATCCTTGCCATCATGTGGGTCAAGATGGTCATGGACCTGTTGACAATATCGGCGGGAGAAGCCCAACATAAAAATGATGACGGCGTTGCTGATGTTAGTACTGGTTTCAAGGTTTCCGAGCTGGAGATTTGAAGGCACGGGGATCAAGAGTCTGAGCTTTCTTTGTTGACGGGATCCGGTTGTGCAAGGCCAAAGACACCCCCTAAACCCTAAACCCTAAACCCCCCCCTCCCCCCCCCTCTATGTGTGTAACCGGCTTGAGGCGGCCGACAAGGCACGCTCCAGTCACTGACCTGCCCGCAGAGCAGCACCTGCAACCTGCCAGGGTCTCGGCGGCTTCGGCTTCGGGGTTTGAGCTGAGTAGCTGGGAGGTTCATGGGTAGTTATAAGTGGGAATATAAGTCCCGTAATATGGGTTATAGTATAGCTACCCTACTTATAACCCCAATTATAACTACCCATGAACCTCCAAGTAGCTGGGATGTGGTTATTCCTTCAGGCACCTGAGCCAGTTGCAGAAGCTATCACGTCATCACAAGTATGAGATACTGCAACACTGCCAGCACCAGTACTGTAGTAATCAGAAATCAGAACGATAACATTTGCCATCATGAAATGCTACTAGCAATTTTCGCACAGGAAACGCAAACGGCAACCGCAGGGGTTATTATAGTGGACGGTATTCGGTGGTGGTGGTGGTGGTGGTGGTGGTGGTGGTGGTGGTGGTGCTTGAGGCAGATACAGATTCTACTCTTTTACGAGCGTTCGGCGGTCAAGCCTGCCCCGGACGCCGAAGTCGACAAAAGCGAACTATATGCCGGGATATGCCAGTGACGCGCACTATCATCACGAGCCAGGTGGAACTTGCTCCACGTGACCTTGGCAGCAGTGGCCGCCCGTGGCTTCTCCGGGCGCACGCTTCTAGGTGTCGGCTGCTGAGAGTCCCTAATCCTCTTCCTCCTTAGTTCCCCAATACCCAACCTTTAAACTTTTTGGGTTCTTATAACTTAGTAGTAATCTGAAAGTTTAACCTTTTATTTCCCTGGCTTATTGGCGAAGTAAGCCTCGCTCTTTGTTGATCTTTCTGGGTGTCTCTCTCTCTCTCTCTTTGTGTCTCTATCTCCCTCTATTTTCTTCTCACTCGTTTTGGGACCATCTGCGAGAGAGTCCTTCGTGATACATTCTCTACCATGCTTTTACTTTGCCCAATGAAAAGTTCAGGGATGAGGCATTCTGCATGTGACTGTCACCTGTGCATTGACTTCAGTGGTTTGAATTGGCACTGTCGCTTCATGTTGGAGTGGCGCACTAAAGTAAGCATCCATGCTATCGCTGAGCTGTTCCTCTTCAAGCTGATTCTTGACTAGATGCCACTCCTTCTGGGACTTTCCCAAAATTAGGGGTACCTTACTTTGGGGTCCTTATAATAAGGATCCTATTATTTAGGATACTATATTAGGGTCCCCTATTTTCGGAAACCCCTTTCTGCCTCGTTGTTGCTACCCCATACTTCTCGGGAGGTGCTGCAGCCGGAGGATCCTATAGGTTTAGGGGTTGGGAGGCAGTGGTCACGGTAGACTCTCCAACTTTAGGCATTAGAGAGCATCGGTAGGTTGCCATCCGGTGTGAGTGGGAAGCCTGGTAAGCAGGATTCCGGACTTGAGTTTTGAAGCTCATGCGCGAATCCCTGGTTTAGGGTTTGGGGTTTAGGGTTGCAGAATTCATGAGACCTGTATGCGTTGACGTGCATTTGGTTACATGTTGTTGTCAAGTACCAACTATATAGGCTCGTGTACCAAGATCGACTGTGCCATGAATGCTCGTGGTATGGCTGTAGTGCACGCAGCAATGCTACCGTGTGCTGTAACTCATAATGCGGTTTATCACACCCGATCTCAAGCTAGGAAACTCGAAGTTTCGACCCCCATAGATCTTAGCTGCAAGTCTGAGTCTGGAATCCAAAACCCTAAACCCTAAACCCTTCTTGGGGCTGAGGACGGTAGCATCCTCTCCCACGGCAGCGAGGGTGGCATGGTTTGGCGCTAAGTCGATGTCGGGCGCTTTGGGGCCTACAGCAGCTGCGTGCCCAAACGCTGCAACAGGCCCGAAGCCTCGTTGGGTTCGACGTTGACCTGCACCTCCTCGGAGACTTCAGGTCAAAGATAAAAATACAATGGGCGCGGTGTCTCACAGCCGCCTCCCTGAACCCTCAGCCCCGAGATCGGCAAAGCCTGAATTCCAACAACTACAAGCTGCTGCCCTTCAGCCTCCAGCCCTAAACCCTCCGAGGCCCTGAGGTACCAGGATCCGGAGATCGGTGTCCGCGAGGCCCAGGCGCGACGCTGAACGGGGTGATCTCGGAACATCAGCGGAGCCAGAACAGCTGAAACCAACCGCTCATCATCTCGGCTTTGTCACACTAAGAATCTTGGCAGGCTTTGTGAGCTGCACTACTTGACTGGAGCTCTGAGCAGAAGCCGAGGAAACCCCGTTCCGAATGAATACGGCGTTCTCTCCTTTCCCCCGAGCCTGCTGCAGCCTGCTGACCGACATAGATTCGACATAGATGTGCTGTGAGCTCGTGCAGGTTTGAGGGGGTGATGGTTTGGGGGCCTTAGAGTTTGGGATATATTATACCATAATCACACTAAGGAACCCCCAAAACCCTATTCTGATTATTCAGGCCCCTACATTGGAGGAGGGAGAAGCTGGCTTTGCTCGTTCGGCTGCGGCATATCGTTGTTGTCGCACGGGGTTTAGGGTCTCATAGTTCCACCCGGTGGGCAGCGCCCTTTCAAGCTGCCAGGCCTTCGTGAGAACTTTTGCTGGGAGGCCAAGACAAATGGCATGAGGTCGGCGTTGTGTACATCAGTCAGCTTTGTGAGGTTAGGCGGCGGCACAGTTTCGCGTTAGTTGATTGGTTCAAGTTGTTGTTGCCGGAAGTGGTCTGTACAGATACAGATATGTTTGGGCAGGCATCATCTTAAATCTTTACGGCTCTTCCGAGAAATAGAAGCAAAGTTCACTCAGCTTGCTTCTGTGATAGAGAATTCGTTGGGGCACTTGACAAGTGAAGCCTGGTGATTCCATACACGGATGGAACAGTTCTTCATTGACTTTCTCCGAAAAATTCTGAGGCATCTACTAAAAAGCTAGCTCCTCGAACCCGGAACATACACCCCAAGCCCTGGAAGCCCTGTGAACCCAAAGCCCCCACCGAAGTTGCTGAGGTCGACAACTTCCTGAATTGCAAGCAGTGCCCGGCAGCCAAGCCTCACTAAGCGAGACCAGAGAGCGACCAACCCGAAGTGAGCTAGCGCCGGGCTTATTTGGTGGTTTCCGAAAACAGGGGACCCTAATATAGTACCCAGAAGAATAGTAGGATCCTTATTATAAGGACCCCCAAAATAAGGTACCCTAGTGCCCTAATTCTCGGAAACCCCCATTTGGTGTTTTGAGGATTTGTAGGGTTGAAGACTTACGAGTTCATTCCTCGGGGCACACTGAATCCTTAAGCGCTACATTACTTGGAGGATCATGGGACTTAGTAAGTAAGGTTATAAGTCCCTTAATTGGGGGTATAAGTATAGTTACCCTAATTAAAACCCTACTTACTAAGTCCCATGATCCTTTAAGCAGGGTATTGGGTGGGGTTGTAGGGTGATGAGATCGAAGCTGGAAAACGGCCCTTGTCCTGGCTTCGCAAAGCGCAGGGTGCAGGCTTTCAGATTCCGGGCCCATCACTTCGGACGGTTCTCGCTCACCTGCTTCACGAATCTACATCCCAGAGCGCTAGGAAGCGGGAACCATATTGCACCCCCTTTTCGGCTGCTCCCGAGGTCGCGAGCGCTTCATCTGGGATTACGACCAGTGTAACTATGGCCGCTGCGACTACAAGGCCGGATCGCGGAAGAGTTTTTGATGTGGAGTTTAGGGTTTAGGGTTTTTAGACCATGGCCTTTTGGGATGGTTATGAAATGGTACTCGTATGAAGGTGCAGACCGGACAGCACGACCATGACCATCAGCTTGCTCTTCTCATTTCCCAGCCGTGCATCTTCATCAGCAACAATGCCATCCATCAGACAAGCACTGCTTTCCTTGTGCTTCGCATCCTCTTTGCACATCTACGTTGCCGCCGGTGTATCAAATATCATGACCATGCACTGATGAGTGCAACGGCCAAGGGATGTTGTTAGTGTCCTAGCCCGAGCCGGGTCGCAATGGTCTTCTGTAGGGGTCGGAATAATTTGTAACTGCATCCTGTGCCCTACAGACTGCTAGGACCCTGCAGATGAGCACGTTTGTGGACTGTTTTCGGAAGTTCTGGCTCGGCTGTCTCAGCAGGACTGGCAATCATTGCCTCTTTGGTTGCTGCTTGGCTCATCAACAATTGCTGGATTTCAGCTTCCGTGCTGGCTGCAGGTGAGGTACCTGAGCTGAGGTTGGACGATACATTTGTTGCTTCCTCTGATTGAAGAAGACACTGGAACCGTGCAAGCACGGAAGCTTGCCAGCCCGCACATGGGTCCATCATGTCCATCGTTCAAGACCCCATCATTGACTCCGGGTACATATTTTGTTGCACGTTCTCATACTCCATCGTGGCAAGAATCTAGCTACTCGAGATTCATCAGGCCTTGCAGACTGTCTGGTGCCTGACCTGGCTAGAAGTATCCCATGTTATCGCATGAGCACTGTACGACGTGTAGGTTGTAAAGGGGTGTCACGCGCTGGGACAGTCGTGTACTTTTTATGGAGCATGATGTTGTCGGTGTTTACATGCATTTTCATGCGGGGTGGCTGGATGGGTGGCTGGCTGGATGGATGGATGGATAAATGCATGGTGGATGTACGTACCAAGAATGGCATCGGTGAAGTGGATCATAGTATGCTGCATGTGATATGCCACGGACAAGTGTATGCACTCACATTTAGCAGTGTCTTCTAATGCGCTACACTGACTTGGGCTTCTGCTGATAGAAGCTCGACCAAGGTGGCGCGTGCACAACGCCGTCAGCTTGCATGTAGCTTCGGACTGAGTTTCCGTTCTCAGGAGGGAATTTGGAATTATGTGGTGCGAAGTGAAAGCTAGCTCTTTCCGAGGTTGTGCACCCGAATTGCCGTTGTGTCTCGTTCTCCCCGGGTTTCAGCGGTGTCGAAAGCTCCGAGCTGCTTGAATACGAAATTCGATGAAATTGCCTTAGCCTCGAAGCCTGTGCTTATCGGCCGCAGTTGCAAGGGTGCTCTCTGTCGTCATTCCTTCTTGCATGTCTATGACTGCTAGTGCCAATTCTCATGTTTATGGCTTCTCACTGCTTCAGTATGCTCTGCTCATCTCCGCTTTGATTCGCCGGGAGTTTATTGTCCTCCAGCGAAGTTAGCATGAGCATAAAGTACAGTGAACACTGTAATGCATTGCCAGTTTCGTTTGGACCAGGCAGCGGTGCAAACTCGGACATGGTTGGCTCCCGCTGCAGGCTTCCCACCGCGACTCGCCGGTGGATCGGCGGTGGCCCGAGTACCAGGTGCCAGGGATTCGGGGCTTGTGAGCTTCTTTTGTCTTTAGGGCTTTAATCTGGTAGCGCTCGAGTTCTTCCGATGTGGACACTTTTGGCACGCCAAAGTAAAGGACGCGAGGCTTGGTCTCTGCACTGCCAATCTCACCTCGCTTGAGACTTGCGCGAAGCCCATGAGCATGAGCTTGGGGAGGACTGCCCGCGCTGTTGGCGAGAAGACCTCGTCCTGGGCAAGCCAGTGAGGGTGCGCAGGGCCGCTCCTGGGAACCGAAGCCCCCAAAAGTCCCCCAAGCAGTGTGAGCCCCAGTAAAGTAAACCCCCAACCTCCCCAAGGTCCACATGGAAGCAAGAATCCAGCTTGCATCTGCGTCTAGGTACCTGCGTGAAGCCCGAAGAGTCTAGGGAAGAAAGGCTCCAGCTCCGATACTTGGAGGGTTCGTGGGTAGTTATAATTGGGGTTTCTATAAGGGTTACTATAAGGGTCACGATAAGGGTTACTATAAGGGTTTAGGGTTGGTAGCTATAGTTGGGGTTACTATAAGGGTTACTATAAGAGTTTAGGGTTTAAGGTTCATGGGTAGTTATTATAATTGGGGCTATAAGCAGGGTAACTCTGCTTAGAACCCATATTAGGGGGACTTATATTCCCACTTACAACTACCCAGGAACCTCCAAGTTTCGACTGCTTGAGGGGAAGTTTAAGTCTCGACCCGAAGCCTCAATATAAGTCCCCCTAATATGGGTTTTAAGTGTAGTTACCCACCCTACTTATAGCCCATGTATAGCTACCCATGAACCTCCAAGTAAAAATCCCCAAAGCCCTTTTGAAGGCCTTCAAAACCTAAACCCTAAACCCTAACTCCCTAAACCCTAAACCCTAAAAGCCTTCAAAACCTAAACCCTAAACCCCTAAACCCTAAAAGCCTTCAAAACCGATCCGTCAGCTCCTGTCCGAGCACCCGGGCGTGGATGCCTACGACCTCCAAGCACGCTCCGAAAGCCGCTCGGGGACCCGGCGCTGCTCAGAAGCCCCGAGTTTGGGGCTGCGGCGTTTAGGAGGCTACATAATATAGAAGCCTAAATAATTGGTAGCGGGCGCCCGCACCCAAATAATTACCAAGATTATTATTCTAGGGGTTCCTTATCATAATTACATTATAGTATAATATGCCCCAAAAGCCTATTCTAATCATTTAGGGCTCCTACAATAGGCTTTGAAATTTTGGGGTGAGGGTTTCGAGCGTGAGATCAGGTTTAGGTTCGAGTCAGTGTTTTACGTTAAGGGCTCGCTCGAGGTATTTACACTAATGATGCTATGGCCCACGATCCGGCTGACGCTGATGATGGCCGGCTGATGCTGAAGATATAGCTGCGTGCTGATCATCAGCACGCAAGTACCTTCAGCTGATGATGCTGATCCTTGGGCCGCCTAGGACTGATGATGTTCGGACAAGGGCCGGCTGTTGCTGATGATGCTTGCGCGCTGCTGATGATGCTCGGACAAGAGCCGCCTGAGACTGATGATCGTTGCACAAGGGCCGGCTGATGCTAATGATGCTGATGCCGATGATGCTTGGGCGTGGGGCCGCCTGAAACTGATGATGCCCGGACAAGGGCCGGCTGATGCTGATGATGCTTGCGCGCTGATGCCCTGGCCGGCTGAGACTGATGATGCCCGGACAAGGGCCCGACCGATGCTAATGATGCTTGCGCGCTGATGCTGATGATGCTTGGGCCTGGGGCCGCCTGAGACTGA